ATAATATTTTATTAAAATAATATATTTTTTAAATATTTTTTCATTTAATTTTTTTTAATACACGGTTAATATTCACTTTTCTAAGTACTCATTTGGTTTTAGAAACTTTATCCATCCTGCGAGGAACATTATGTCAAAAAAAATAAAAATAAAAATAAAAATAAAAATTTCAAACAAGACAGAACATGTTCTAATTATAACATCTAAAATACATCCACATTCATTATTACAACTTTTCTACGTAATTAATTTTAATTTTTAATTTTCTTCTTTTTTCTGGAACACAGAAACAGCAAAATATATCTAGAAATGCAAGGTGAGAACTGAGCTGTTTGGATGCCAGGAAAATCTGGAAATTAAAGGAAAAATGTAAGGTTCAAAATTTAATTTTGAGTTTCCCTCACTTTCTCAGCATCCAAACAACTCTGAGAAAATAGAGACAGGTGAGAACATATGCTAGAAATACCTTCAACTCCAAGAATTGTCAAAGGCAGCTGAAGTGATGGCCTGAGCAAACTCCTGGAAATTAATGCATCCATCGCCGTCGGTGTCCGCCTCCTTGATCATCCCCGTGAGCTCCTCCACCGTCAACGCATGCCCCAACTTGGCCATCGAATGCGCCAACTCCGCTGCCGTGATGTAGCCGTTCCCGTCGCGATCAAACATTCTGAATATCTTCTTCAGCTGCTCCTCGCTGTACGGACACTTGGAGGACACCAGATCCGGTTCCACCAGGGCCACGAACTCGGAGAACTCGACCAGGCCGTTGCTGTTTTTATCTGCCTTCTGTATCAAGGCTTCCACCTGGTCGGCGCTAGGTTTCAGCCCCAGCGACCGGAGTAACGACCCGAGCTCCAATTCCGTCAAACTACCGTCGTTGTTTCTGTCGAACGATCTGAATATCTCGCGGAGCTCCGATAGCTGCTCGTCGTCGAGTTTCAATCTCTCCTTTTTCTCTTTCTCCCCCATCTTGGATCTTCGATTTTGGGGATTAACCTCCTCTTCAGATCAGTAATCTCGATCTCTTTCAAAATTCCCCAAAATTAAGACCAAATCCAATCTTTAATCCTTCAATCCTCCAAAATCCCTCAATCTCTTCGTCTTCTATATCTTGATATCGTCGGACAATTAAAGCTTTGTTCAACTTGATTAAGATTTTTTTCTCTTGATCCAGATTCGGAGTTGTTGTGTTCATTTTTGAAATTTATACAAATCATATCTGGTTTTTTTATCTTTGATTTGGCCTGGTTTGGCGTTCTTGATCCTTTGAATCGCTCTTGTGCAGAATTTTTGGATCAAGAAACTACGTGCAAGCTCGTCATTGAATAGGATATTACTAAATTCAAAGAAATTTATAACAATGAAAAGAAAAAAGTATACTATTTTTTAAGAAAAATATATGTAGAGGTGCTTTAATTCTAACCAAAAATGAAATGTGATTCTCCGACTTTTATTTAGGGCAATTAGGTACCTTAGTTTTTTTTTTAAATAACATGGGTATCGTAGCCTTCCGCTCGACTAAATACATGGGTACTTGCAAACTGCACCATCCATGGGTACTAAGTAAAGCTCCACTTTCATGGATGATTGGCATGGCTTATTAAAATTGTTTTCATTTAAATAATGGTAGAAAAATTCAAACTTGTATTCTTAAGTATAGTTCAAATCCCTATTTTTACTAAATGAGCCAATCTCAAGTTGTTTTCGAGGTAAAAAGCATAATGTTGTAATTGCCATAGAGCTCTCATTTGATATCACAAATCTTATAGTCATGAATTATTATTATTATTATTATTATTATTATTATTATTTAATGTTTTATAATTTAAATAATATCGTATTGCAAAACATAAGTTATTAGATGGAGTAGTCCACTCACATTATTAGCAAGCCATTCACCATTCCAATTGTTAGTAATATTTTATAATTAAATACAATTCAAACTACGATAAATTTTTTTGTTGTTATTGTTACTATTTTTATAAAAATTCAATTACTATGATTTATGGGAATGACTCATGTTAAACACATTGTTTATTTTGTTAACACGAATGATTAACTACATCAATTTCCAAAGGTGATGACATGGACATTATGGTCCTTAATTACGGTCAAATTCAAAAAGTAAAAAGACTTCATTATGAAACTAACAACTACGAGACTACATTACACTTTCCATAAAACTACAAGGCCTAACCATGCACTTTTCCAAAACAAAATATTAAACAAAATCTCTGTATGTGGCGTGATCAGGTATATGAAAAACGTGGCAGTGGGCGTGGGTTCGGTGATCAGGCTCAGGACTCAGGAGCCGTGTGTTGCTAATGTAATGTTAGCAGTGGCGGTGTGAAGGGCGAGACTCTTCCTCACCAAAGGTGGAACTATTATGAGAAAATGTGTATGCATTGAATATAGTGCATTACTTTATCAGTGTTTCTTAATCTCTGGCATGTCTCAATTCAAACCTCGAGTCTAGAAAGGGATTTAGTAAAAGGAGACAACACTATCAGATTTACCATATATAAAAAAAAGTTCATTACTTTATCAGTGTTTATTAATCTTGTCATTACCATGCCTTTCGGTTTAGACTTTTAGAGTTGTCTGTCTTTTTCATTTTGCGTGCCTGTTACTCTTTCTAGCACTGATGGATACAATATGAAGGTGTTTGATGAATGCTTCAAAGAAACTCTCGTAAGACTAACTATAGGATGAGTAGATTTCTGAGTCTGTACCCATCTTCTCCTACAATTAATGCTAAGCTTGCATTTCTTTTAAACCATGTTCTGGTTGACAAAAATCTTACCATGAATTAGGCAAGTTCTTACAAATTTCTTGCTGATAATAAAAAGTCTGGTTGCGTGACCAATTTTGAGTACTAATCTGAAAGAATGCAAATGCAAAATCTGTCCTTAGGTACCAAGGAAGAATGATGCTAGTTCGTAGAAATTGATCCTTTTGGTTGAACTGCTCAGACAGAAAAATAAAAATCTAGGCAGTAAACTGGCAATTTAATTTTGCATAAATGCATGGTAATTATACTTCAGCAATGATCCTAAGACATTCGCGAGCTGAAAGTTATGCTTAGCTTACTCTCTTTACCAGAAGTCTCATCCCATTTTCTGGAGTTAATGTCAGTTTGTATGTTGGAGAGTGGCAATATTTGGGGGAGAGGGAAAGGGGAAATCTAGATAGAAAGAATGTATAATTTTCAGTTCCAACATTGCAAAGGTCTGGCCTAAACAGAGTCGGCTGCCATAAGCAAAAGGCATGTATGCTTGTGGATACTTGCGGGCTTCAGATATCCCATTTGCAAATCTTTCTGGCTTGAGCTCCCCAGCATCCGCCCCCCAAATTTCAGGGTCACGGTGCAATACTGGAATCAGGTTCCATATGTGGATCCCTTTTGGTATGACAAGATCTCCTAACTTGATATCTGCAAAAGCTTCCCTAGTCATAATAATAGCTGGTCCATAAAGACGCAAGCTTTCTTGAATGACCATTGTTAGCTGCAATAATATAAAAATAGTAAGTAAACCATGTTACATCCTTCAAAATACTTCTCATTCTTCTTATTTATCATTTTTATTTTTCTGGAAAAGGATTTGCTTGATTTTTATAGAACATATGATGATCGAGATACCGTTTTCATTTGGCTAATGGTGTCCAGCTCAAGATGGCGTAGCTGCAGAGGATCACCACGTATCTTGACAATCTCACCTCGAACACGTTCTTGCCATTCAGGTTGTAATGCAAGAAGCATTAAACTCCAAGATGCTGTAAGTGCAGTGGTTTCATACCCTGCAAAGTATATATTCTTGCAGTTGTCTATTATAATTTATAAAGCAATCTGTTTTACTTGAATGTTGTAATTGGCTGTTATTGTTGACAGCTTTAAGCATCATCTACCGAAGGTCCTCAGATTCTCCATCTTGTTTTCTTTCTTCTTGACGAGCCTTGACGAGCCTTGACAACCTTGAGTATTAATGAATCTACCTCTTTCTTTATTCTCCAGATTGCTCTATTACCCTTTACAAGAAGAAATCTGGACATGGAAGAGGGATTCAATCGAAAGAATAAGTGAAAGGAAAGGTTAGGTTCTCGCATTCTTCTGTATGGTAAAAATTTTAGGATAGGAAAAGATGAGTTATGATACAATATTATATGTTTTTCTTTTGTAAGTAAAGGAGATGTCAACATTGTGCTGTTGAAATTATTTAACTCTTAGATAAAAATTGAAATTATTTAACTCTTCAGGTGCTATTCACTAACATATACAAGGATAAAATTAGGGTAAATGATCACCAGAATCATAAAGTTTATCCTTTCTTTTCTCACTGCTGCCCTGAAATCAAACATAATGTTAGGGAGGTACCTGAATTGTGGAAGTCCAAATAGCATACTAGCACTGAAAATGGTATTTTGGAGGACCCTTAGCTTTTCAAAGATCTGCTTGCCTTGGGCATAAGAACTTCCAAAACAAGTTTTTGAGATTATATCTGCAGAAACACTTCTCATGTCCTGATCAACTGTTATATCCACAACTCCTTCCTCACTTTCTGTTATGCACCTCTCCCATGCTTCTGCCATAACCATGGTAGATTCCTCCATCAGACCCACCATGCCCTTAAAATTCATTCACATGGACATATGCTTAGTTCTTAACAATAAGTTCTCAAAGCATCTCAAATAAAAACTAAAGTGACCTGATGAAAAATAGGATAGTAGCTGTCTTTTCATCTGTTAATTAAATTGCAACACAAGGTATGTCATGGGTTTGTAATCTGTTGACGCTTTCATCATCAGGTGAGGATACTTGCCTGACAATTTAAGCTTTTAGCTTGAGCTGATCTTGAAATAATGGGCTCCTGCAGACAAGTCCTGAATTTTTACCTTAACTTTGTGCAGGAAGAACTCCTGCTTGCCCAAATCCAAGGAATTGTGTAGATTCAGTTCTTTCAACAAATCTGGTCAGCTAATGTACAGGTGCTGCTTATTCCACATTGAGTACATGTAGACCGAACCTGCATGACTCATTTTTGCCCATCTCTAATCCCAAATAATCTCAAAAATTCTTTCATGGATCATATATCTATTCATTCCAGCCTAATACTCTTCTTAAGAAATTAAAACTATGTTAAACCAAACCTGAGTTGTTGAATCACTTTATTTTTGAATTCTATTAACATAATAGAAAAGGACTAGAGGTAGAGATTTTCTATGTATAACTTTAGTTAATCACCTAAAGTATATAAGATTTATATTTGTTGCTGCTGGTTGATGATGTTGAACTCAAACCTACAATTTCATAGTCTGAAAATCCCTACTTCATCTCTCAACTAATATTATTAAGAAAGGACTACATATTTATAATCTTTTCCATCAAGGCAAAGGAACCCTGCCCCTTTTCAGTGTGTGATGTGTCTGACACGATATACTGTCAACAGTATGATGTTTTTAGATTGGATTTAAAAGGATTAGGTATGGCCATATGTGTTCACAAGGGAGGTGAGCATGGCTAAGCTATTAAGAAGACTTGAATCCCTGATTTTGACCTAAAATTCAGACGATTTCTTCTTTTCTTTCATTTTCTT